AGCTGTCATCTGCGCACCCGCGGAGTGCTCCGTTCACCAGCGAAGGCGAATTCCTGCATGTTCCTAACTGGGTGGACTGTACCGTAAGTGTAGGAAATACCCGCTCGGTACCATCCACACCCGCCCTTTAAAACTTTCTAGTGTGGGCTCGTGTGAAAGTCTCTGGCTTTTCCTAAGCTTTTTCTCAGTGAGGCATCTGTTTGAAGGCCAGCCTGACCCTGCGGGGGAATCAGTCTTAGTTGAGTACCCTCTTCGGGTTAATCTGATTCTCTCTTCTTTATCTATGCAGTTGTGTGGCCCGGGGTCTCCTCCCCAGTGAGGGCCACGCCTGGAGGGAGGGCGGGGGAGCCGGGGAAGGTGCGGGCTGAGCTTAGCAAAGGCACGTACTTCGTGGGCGTAGAAGGAGAGTTGTTGTAGAAGGCACTGGGGTCTTGGCGTTCCCGAGGCTTGTGCTTGGTGTCTTACTAACCAGACTCCCCAGGCGGTACTTCCCTGCACCTTTAGCGTGAAGAGACTTTGGCTTTGAATGTAAACATAAGCAGGCTCTGAACCTGTGACAACGTTAGCATTTTCCAGTGCTGATAGCTCGCCTTTCTTTCACGGTTCTTCACCTTCTACTTCTCACCCCCATCGCATTTAGGACTTGAACCCCATGCTGCTTAAACCCTGGAGCAACTTATGTTGAACCATATTTGCTCAACGGTGTAAGTCAGATCTAAGTGCTTAAAAATGTTCACAAACCACTTGGATCTGCAACAGTTGACTTCCTAAAAAGTATAGAGCCAGAGCCTCCGATTGTCTGGGTCCCATAAATACGGACTCAGAGAGTTGACACGAACATCCAGTGCATGTCAGGCATGGCGCTGGGTCCGGGTGTAACAGATGCGGTGGGCGGTGGCACACCTGAGGGTGTTAACGTAGGCTGCTGGGTGCCGGGGTGCCCAGGGGAAGGACCACTGAAAGGTTTCCGGTGGCGTCCTTTCCCACGGGTTCTTCACTCCGGGTGAAAGATCATGCCCTTCGGGGGGACCTGTGCTGAGGAGAGGAGCCATCCGTGTGTTTGGGAGACGCCGGACGATGGGCGGACCCGGAGCAGAGGGAGCAGAGGTGCCTGTCAGGCCGCGGTGGGCATTGTGGAGACTGGACAGGCTGGCGCCTTGGGCATCCTCAGAGTCCACGTGAGCCTGCAGGCGTCGGCAGTGAAGCTGTTGGCAGACGCTGGGCAGCAGTGAGGGTGTGAAACCCAAAAGGCTGCCTATTGTTTCAAGAAATCAGGCATCAAAAGGAAGCAGAGAAGGGCCAGGGCACGGGTCTGCGTTTGTGCATGTGCATGTATGCAAGACGTGGCACTTGGTACTTTGTAGGCAGGAGGCAGAGGGTGAAGTTTCCAGACTCTTGGAAAAGGCAGTAGGGTCTGGAGCAGAATGGAGGCATTTTCCGTGAGGCGGGTTGAGCGCAAGTGAAGCTAAAGATACTTGGAGGCCCAGGGGAGGGAGAAAGGTGAGCTGGTTTGTGGCTGGTGACTGTGGTGCTTTCATTCATGAAACAAGTACTGGCGGCTGTTCAGTCCTATTGATGGTCGGTAACGTATCCTAAAGAGGTTGTCCCTGTTGTGGGTAAACTCAGCTGTGTGGGCTCCATAGCCCTGGTGGTGGGGCACACTTGGAGCTGCACCTGCCTCCCCTGGGTCCTGAGGTCTCTGCTGCAGGTGTTGCCCCCCCTTCCCCCCCAGCTCTGGCTGTCGCCTCACTAATCTAAACTTCCTTCTTTTCCGGTCCCCACCCCGCCCTGTGCTCCGCCCTCTGTGCTGGTCTTGTGGTTCCCAGCTCTTCATTCTTTCCTCCTGTGCCTACACCCCTTGCATTCACTATGTCCTGCTAGGTCTCTCACACGTGTCTTCTTCCTCCCCTGGCGACATTCCTTTAGGTCACGTGCCTGCCTCGTCACCTGGTTATTGCAGCCACTCCTCCCAGGTCACCTGGCTCATCATGGAGCCAACCCAGTCCATTCTTTGACACTGACAGTCAATCTTTCTAGAAAACCTGATCATGACTTACCTGCTCCCAGCCCTCCTGCCTTCCCTGAGAATAAAACTGCGTACACACAAGAGCATGTGCGCAGTGCATTTGTGCCCACCCAGCCCTTGGGAACACTGCTCTCCCCACAGCAGCATTGGCTTTGCCTCCTTAACCCTTTGAGTGCTGACCAATATCCTAGGAACTATGCTAAAATTGCCAAGGCATTTTTGCTGATTTTACAGCAGTTTAGGAAAAAAATTATGAATCGCAAGTAAATGAAGTTACGTATTCAAAAACTTAAGGAAACCTTTATTACATTGACATATTTAGCAATATCATCATCACTAATAAAAACAGACTTAGAACTGGACGCCATTTCGAAGCTTTGGTAGCACTCCCGGCACTTTGGTGAAAGACAGGAGGAGTGCGATTGCACTCCCCAGCACTCAAAGGGTTAATTGCTTTAAATTCACAAGGATTCCGCTCGTGTCCAGTGAGTCCTCACCTTCGTCAATAGGTTCTTGGACCTGCAGCAAAAGGACACGTCACAAAATCAGGTTTAGCACGGGCCCATTGACAGAAACCGGAGTTCGGTTCCTGTGACGTCCAGTCAGGCACCTGCTGTGTCCCTTCCCGGGCCTTTCCCATTGGCGGTGACCACGCATCGCCAAGCCAGACCAGATCTCCAGTGCACGGGGCAGTGCACTAAGTGTCCGTCAGTCCTCTGTCTTCCGCGCTGATACCCTGTGGCACCTGCTCACAGTAGCCTCCCTGCTCACTTGTCAGTGAGCCCAGAGTTGCTGCTTTTCATTGTCCCCTAATGTTTCATTGACTATAACAGAGTAAAAGGTGTGTGTGGAGAACAAGGTGTGTTTTTAATTAGAATGTTCATGTTCACACTAATTTGTACAAACCAAGAATGAAATGCAGAATTTTAATGTGTGTGGTTTTTTTTAAAGGTTATTCAGCTTCTAAAGGCTGGGAAGGCTAAGGAAGTGTCCTACAACGCACTGGCCTCGCACATCATCTCAGAGGACGGGGACAACCCGGAGGTCGGGGAGGCCCGGGAAGTCTTTGATTTACCTGTTGTGAAGGTCGGTAGCAAATACTTTGTACTACCCTCTGGAATGAAATTGTATGTAGGCAACACCCCATGATTTGTAGTGTATGTGTACATTGGGCCCAGCGACACCCATGCTGGAGGAAGCAGTCAGATCGCCACCTGTGACTGTGACCACAGACTGTCTTCAGGGGTCCTTTCCAGAGAGTCGGCTTCCTTCCGGGGCCCTTCCTGCAGCCTGAGGATACCCCTTCACAGTTGTCCCCCTCCCCTGTCCACCATCGCCCACCGAGTCCTGGTACCCTGCATTGCCCCCTGGCTTTGAGCATCCTCGGGACACGTCAAAGGAATACCTAGCAACTGGGTGTCTGAGCAGACCTGAGGGGCTCTGGGTGCTGCTGCTGAGAATGGCCCGGCTCATGTGAAGGCGTTCTGAATGCAGGAGGGTCAAAGTAGGGTCACCGATGTAGGTTCCTGATCCAGCTTAACTGAATTCCTGGGAGTTTGACTAGAGTCACACCATGTGAAGGTTCGCTGGCAAGGTGCTTTCTTTCGGCGAGGTGCACTTACCCAGCGAGTTAGCTCAGCATTCGGTAAAGTGATCAGATCTTCATGCAATAATTATCCCAAGTAGAGCCAGTCTGCATTTCATAAAATGTTTGATATTCCTGCACTCTGTCTGCAGAAGATAAACTTATGCTAAGTTGTTGGCGTCACCTAAAAAAAGGATGAAGGGTACTTCGCTTTCCAAAGTCCTTTTTTTTTTTAAAATATATGTTTTTTATTGATTTCAGAGAGTAAGGGAGAGGGAGAAGAGATAGAAACATCAATGATGAGAGAATCATTGATCGGCTGCCTGCTACACGCCCCCTACTGGGGATCGAGCCCACAACCTGGACGTGTGCCCTGACCAGAAATCAAACTGTGACCTCCTGGTTCACAGGTTGACACTCACCCACTGAGCCAGGCCAGCCAGGCTCCGAAGTTCTTTTAAGGGAGTGACAGGAACAGTGCGGAGCAGTAGCAAGGTGCTGCTGCACGAGAGACTGCCCTTCTGTGTTTGTGTCCTGTCTGGTGCACCTAGTCGAATCTCAGTAAATATCTGGTGTGTGAGCTAACGCAGGAGTGTGTGTGTTTCAGCTGGTGAAGTCCTCCAGTCGTCGGCTGGCTAAACCGGGCATCACTAGATTTTTACATAGTGATTTCATGAAGCAGAGCTATCAGTATAGTGATTTATGTACTTCTTAAAATTAAATATAAAAAATATAAGGTAAGATAATTTAAAAATATGTAAAGTATAATTTAAAAATATGTAAAGTACCCCCAAAGGTAGTGATGAACTTACGGTTTTATAATTTGAGTTTTAGAATTCATAAAAAGTTACCTTGCATGGTGTACTGACATCGTGTCTGTTTGGCTTCACTGGGAAAACGCACTAGTTCAGACCTCATTTGATTCGGGATCAAGAAGGACGGAGGGGCCAGTGCAGGCTGCTTGGGGCGGGCGGGGACCTCAGTTGGCAGGACCATTTCCAGCCGGCCTCGAGGCTTAAGAAGTAATGCGTGGAATTAAACTTTTATGCATAATTTTAGGCTTTCTCCTCGGGCATTCACAGCGAGCCTTTGGCCCTGGTGTGCCTGCTATTTGAATACCATTGCTGCAGTCTGGGTGCTTCGTGGTCAGTTATAACCGAGCCTTTAGTGCAGCGGTTCTCAACCTGCGGGCCGCGACCTCTTTGGCGGTGGAATGACCCTTTCACAGGGGTCGCCTAAGACCATCCTGCATCTCAGATATTTACATGACGATTCATAATAGTAGCAACATTACAGTTATGAAGTAGCCACGAAAATAATTTTATGGTTGGGGGTCACCACAACATGAGGAACTGTATTTCAAGGGCCAGAAGGTTGAGAACCACTGCTTTAGTGTCTGAGCAACACTGGTGGAGTATGTCACTTGGTGAGTTGGAAACAGCCTTTGATTGAGTCCTGTTTTCTTTTGCAGCCGTCCTGGGTGGTCCTGTCTGTGCAGTGCGGAACGCTCCTGCCGTATCCTTTTTGGGGGAAGTGGGGGAGGAGAGAGCATTGATGCCTGATGTGGGAATTGCTGGTGAGAAGTGGGTTCCATGGTGAACTGTGTTGTGTCCATCTTGTGTCCTGGCCGAGTGGACACAGCTGTAGGCTCCGGTTGTGCTGTTAACACTTCAGGGCTGGGAAGTAGATGATGTCATGCAGCCCCCTCCATTCTGCTCGGGGCTAGGCTGTTCCTGCGGACGCCTTTATTCCTTACTGCATCAGTGCTGACAGCGGGCATCCTATTGCATTAAGTATTTATAGGGACCTCAGATACACAGGAAGTATCCCTTTATGCTCAGTTCTTGGATGATATGCAGAACTTGAGCAAGTCTGGCCCAGAAATCCGATTTCTCATCCATTGTAAAGAGTTAAAGGAAATGGGTTTTGGTTTTATGGGGGGCGGGGGGGGGGCGTGTTTTCTTCAGGAACACAGAGAAAGCAGACTGGGAGTGGGGGTACTTCTGCAGAGGAGCGGTTAGTCCTGTGTGGGCTGGGCGCCCTCCTCACGGGCGCCCTCAGAAGGCCATCATCCAGCCACCACCTGCCATCCGGAGAAGCTCCAGGGTCAGAGTGGGCACTCGGGTCTCCAGGACCACACCCTCCACTTTCCCTTGTTCCCGCTTTGCTAAGTGTTTGCCAGCCGAGGGCCCAAGTGAAGGCAGGAGCATGGCAGTAGGGCTGGTGGCATGAGGGTGGGGTGCGCAGGGCCCTGCACGCTGCAGGCTCGGGTTTAGCGGGTCTCAGTCTGCCTGGGTAGGAGACCTCAAAGTGCAGTAGCGTTTCCAGTCTGATGATTCTCTTTGTTCACCCGTCTTGGTAGGTGGACTTTCTCCTATAGGGACAGGATTGCAACTACTCCACAGTCTTCAGAAGAGGCCGTGTGAGCTCAGGCCAGGCTGGCCTATGAGCACCTGAGCCCAGAGCCTGCGCAGGGACGGCCGTGCCCGGTTGGCTCACAGACACTCTTCAGGCAGGATTCTGAATGAATTTTAAAGTCAGAGCTTTAGGAGGAGCGTTGCTGGCTCTAGTGTTAGCAAGGGGGAGCTGATGCTCAGGGAGTCTAGCTTATTCTCACAGTTAGTGGAGGCATTAGCACCAGAGCTCAGGCCCTTCTACGAGGGATTCCTTGCTGCACAGCGAAAGGGATGCACTCGAGACTGGACTTGCTCTGAGATGCCCACTCTGCCCTGTGTATATGGGCATGTGCACGCCTGTGCTGGCTCTTGGGCCAGGTGCTTGGTGAGTGCCACGCTCACCGGCTTTGGGAGCGCTCTCATGGAAACCTCTCCTCTATGCTGTCACCGTCTCCCAGTCCCCTGTGCTCGGGTCACCTTGGTCTGTGTCTTCCTGTAGTGGATGAGTGTGAGTGTGAGTGAGTGTGCGTGAACTGCAGGTGACACTGATCTCATTGCATTGGAATCTTAATAACCGTCCATCAGAGTCAATGGATTTTCTCCAGAGTCCTGCCAGATCTTTTTTGGAGTCATAGCCTGCCTGTCTCAGGTGAGGACGCCCGCGGTCACTCTCGTGTTATCCGTGTTTGTGCACAAGCATTGCTGAGCTGCGTGCTCCATGGGGCACAGTTGTGTAACACTCATGCTTCATTTCCAGATGTGGGTGATGAGAGAAGGGAATAGTTAATGTTTTTTATTGTAATCTGTCCTCTCAACCCCCAGCTGAAAATACCCTCTAGCTATAAAAAAAAAACCCAAGTTGCTATTACTTGAACTTATTTTAAAACTACATAGAGAAATGTATCTAGAATCACTAGTCAGTGGACAGCGCCTCGGAACGCTGCTGTTCTGTGTGCTCGTGGTCCCATTCCGTGATCGGGGCCTCAGTGTTTTCGGGAAAGTGTTTAGCCCCAGCTTAGAGCAAGCCTTTGAGAAAGGGCACGTCAAGGATGTTAGTGAGATGAAAAGGAATTTAGATTGTAGTCTTGCTTTTTAAAAAATGCCTTTTTAATAGAGGATTATGGAACCAGTAATATTTAGTTGGAAATTGTGAGGTTATTGGCCAGACTCAGTTCTTCATATCAATGGTATCAGCCATCTAAGCAATAAGTAAGCTTACTTATGGTTACTGTGTTTTGTTTGCGTCTCTTGTAAATTCTGGAAGTGCTGGAAGATTATAAAATCCCTTCGTTTTGTTTTTGTTACATCTACTTAATACACATCCTTGAAAATTTGGCTTTTTTCCTCAAGAATAGGAGTTTTGTTGGTATTTGCGTTTTAGTGTTTTTCACGTTGGTGCCATAAATGCATATTTACATGGTGATCTTTAAAGTTGGCTAAAATGAAAGCCCTTTAATGATGGTTACTGTGGTCACATATTACTTTTTATTATTTTCCTTATACTTCTCTGTATGTTCCAAATTTAGAATAAACATCATAAAGCTTTTAAAGTGAAAAAAATTTTTACTATCACTTATCATGCATAAACAGTGTTCTCTGGCTAAAATGTGCATTTCACATGTAGTTGTATTTGTCTTGCTTGGATTTCTGGGTTTAGAGCTTCAAAGCCCAGTCCCAAGGCTCGAACTGAATGAGAAAGTGGGAGGAAGAGGCTGGTCAGAGAGACTGGGATGTCAGGGGCCAGGGCTGCAGTGATGTGGGGTTTACCAGGGCTGACTTGGGGAAATAAAGAAGCACAGGTCATTAGAATTATATAATTATTACATAGTCATTATTAGTTGAGTGCTAGAGAACACTTTCAGTCTTGAGAGGAAAAACTAACAGCTGCATTTAACAAAGGTCATGTATGTAGTGGATTATTATATAACTAGAGGCTTGGTGCACGGATTCCTGTACCAGTGAGGCTCCTCAGCCTGGCCTGCGCCCTCTTGCAGTCCGGGACCCCTCAGGGGATGTAGGACTGCCAGTTCAGGCCCGAAGGTCAGGCCCAAAGCCGGCAGTCTGACATCCCCCGAGGGATGTAGTAGTGCATGAAGCCGCAGGTGGCTGGGGAGGAGCCTGAGCCCAAGCCTGGGTGGGGCGCCACACTGCTCCCCCCCATCCCAGCCCCCCTGAGCCTGCTGCCACGGAGGCAGGAGAGGCTTGCTCTGCCACAGCTGCGCTCACCATCGGGCAGCTGAGTGGCGCTCCCACAGGAGCACACTGACCACCAGGGGGCAGCTCCTCTGTTGAGCATCTGCCTCCTGGTGATCAGTGCGCGTCATAGCCACCGGTCAAACAGTCAAATGGTTGAACGCTTGCTTAGGGTTTTATATATATAGATACACGTGACATGGAGGGTATGTAACATGTGCGCGTGAGTCCCGGGTCAGGTGGCACAGGTGCTGACCTCTGAGCTCAGAAGGGGGCAGCAGTGTGGACTCCAGGTTAGGACCCTTGGTGGAGGATGTCAGATTGAATGGGCCTGAAAGAATGGGCAGAATTGAAGTAAAAATGGGGCAGGGAGAGGGCTTTCCAAATAGAGCAGGTGGGAGGGGCCCCGAGGCCCTGGCAGCCTGTGCTGGTGCGGGGGGGGGGTTGGAGGGGGGCAGACGGGGGACTGAGACAGGGATCTGAGTGTGAACCTGATGAAGGAGCCAGCGGAGGGGGGCTGCTTTATGTTTCATTTTGGATTATAAATGTTTCCTAGAACATTTGGAAAACACAGGACAAGCAAACAAAATTAAACCCCTGAAATCTTGTAGGTGACACTAGTCTGGGAGCTGTTAGCTGACTGAGGGCAGGGGAAGGATGGGAGTTTATGGGAGGGACCGGTCCAGTCTTAGACCAGACAGAGGTTTGGATTTGGGTCAGCCCTGCGGGGTGGAGATACCGCGCTGAGGCCACTGACTGGAGCCAGGTGGGGCCTCAGGTACGGGGAGAAGCTGCGTTCACGGCGTGGGAGGTGCTTCCTCCTGAAGCCAGGGTCAGAGGCCCCCATTCCAGTGCTCTGGTTGGTGGTCGAATCATTGCTGGGTGTGAAACAGGAGCTGGTTTCTGAGGGCAGGTGAGGAAGCGGTGTGAGCGTGGCGTTTGGGGTGATCAGCTGTCTGCTGGAGGAAGGGGACTAGCGGGCAGATGACGGCAGTAGAGCTGGGCTAGCACAGAGGATGCTGGGGGAGGACCATAGGATTTTGGGAGCCAAAGTGAGTCAGACTTACCAGTTTTGCTTTTTTTTTTTTTTCTGGGAAACAGTAGTGCCCAGGTAAAGGCAAGGAGCATTCATTGGTAGCAGACAGTTGTTCTATGGCCCTGGACAGTGACAGGGCCGCTGATGGGCTCGGGGCCATCGTACAGGCTGGGGTCTAAGTAGATCTCTGTTCTGGGCTGAGAAGACAAAGGTGTGGTAATGGGTGGGGTTGGGGGGTGGTGGTATGGGAAGCTGCCCTCAGTCTCCTAGGTATACGCAGTCACGGGTCCTGTCCGGTGGTCTGGGAAGTGGCCCAGCTGGTGGGAGTATCGAGGTCCGAGTTGCATTCTGGGGTGTGGCTGGGTCTGTGGTGGACAAGGTGAATTTAGCAAGACCTTGGACAGGATTTTAAGTCCTTCGAGCAAATGCAATCGGACTAATAGCAATCGGAGTCCAGGCTCAGTGTTATGATCTCTGTAGGTTACTTACTGTGTTCTCAGTTTGTCACTTAGGGTGAGTGACTCTAAATTCCCAGTGTGCATCGGGCCAATGATAGAGACCTGCGCCCAAGCGCAGGGAGATGGCGCACACAAGGGGAGGGGCAGAGGCTTGCCTGCTAGTCGTTGGCGTGAAGAAGTCCTGATGAAAAGCATGCTGGGCACTGGTGTCCGAGGTGGTGGGAAATCCAGTTTTGAACTGCATTAACAAGCTCATGCAGTGGCTGACCACTTCCTTTGTGCCCAGGAGCCAAGCAAATGAGAGACTGTCGCTCAATGAGTCTGAGGGTGCAGACCTGTGAACTCGCACCACGTGTAACATGTACAAATGTCAGGTGTGGAATGGTTTACCGGGGGGTGGGGGTGGGGAGCCACTGCCATGCTTGGTCTGCATGAGGAGAGACCCTGGTGTCTGCCTCTCTTGGAACCCAGGAGGACTCCACCTCTCTGAAGGGACTGTGCTTTGGAGAGACCTCTGTCTTCCCATCAGGGGCTTGTACAACTGAGCTCTGTTGGAGTCCTCCCGCGCTCCCCAGGGACAGCAGGGAAGGGTACTAAGCAGTGGAAGTTGGGGAGCAGGCACCCTGCCTCTGACCCCACGCTGGTGCAGGCCGAGGCCTGTTGTTGGGTGCTGGGTAGGTTTCAGGGAAGAGGCCGAGACAGGTGGGGACACGGTTTAAATCTGGAGGACAGAAAATAAAAGCCCTTTTCATTCTGTATGTCAGACTGCCTACCCATGTGCCTCCCTGTACTCGGTCCTGTGAAAGATACCAAGGACATGTAAGACTCGGGCCTCTAATGAATGGGATTCTAGTTTGTAATCAAGGCTGGGCAAGGAGCTTTCATGTGGGCTAGAGCCAGGGAGCATTTGAAGTGTGAGCTCAGGGAGAAGCTGGGAAGGGCAGCACTCACTTAGGGCACGCAGGTGAGTCAGCATCTTCTCTGCTTTAAGCTGAGGGGACGAGGCGGGGCGGAGGGGGGAGGACAAGCAGGTGGGTACCTGTGAGCAGCTTGCTGTGGGGCCAGGGCAGCGGCAGCCGAGCACCTCCTTGAGGGGTAGCAGCGAGGGGTGTGTGTGTGAGGCATGGGGACAGCAGGTGTGGCAAAGAGTGTTGCTTAGTTCCGTAGGCAGGGTGGGCACACGTGTGGGCGTCCTACCAAGAGGAAGAGGCCCTGGCAGCCAGACAGGTCAGGAAGGGCTGGAGACACATGTTCGCTTTTTTTGAATTTTAGCCTGAAGGCACTGAGCAGACATTCGGCTTCATTATAGAGATAGTAGATTTGAGTTTAGAAAGTTGCTTTAAAAAAAAAAGTACTTTTCCCCAGTTATAAAATTTGGAAAATACAGAAAAGTATAAAAAATGAAAACAAAAATGTCCCCATAATCCTGTTCCCACTAGTGTAAACATTTTGGTGGGGAAAGAAAGCCTTCGTCGTTAATAGCGTGCGGCACAGCTGCAGTGGATGCGCTGTGGGGTTAGGTCCTTGCACTCTGACTTGGGCTGGCGAGTGTTGCTCATGGCGGCTGTCCCACTTGACGGTGTCCGAGGTCCCGTGTCTGACCAGGTCTCCCTCCTCCCGCAGCTCTTTCCCCAGCACGCCACCGCATCCCGCGAGGCCACGTGAGGCCAGACGCAGGGCTCGGGCCAAGCAGGGCTGGGGTTAGAATTACTGCATTCAGTAAAACAAGTAATACCTCACCAAGGCCACATGTGGCCAAGTCTTTGTAGTAAAGGCACATCTAGGTTATGTTTTTAATTTCACTTTAATAAAGATTATGTAATGATTCATCAGAGTAACCTCTATTGTCATATAATTAAATCTTACTCTCCAAGATGCTGCAGGATACAAATGTTTTTGTGAAAACCTCTAATGAAAATAATCTTTTGATCCAATTTTCTGAAATGTCACATTGGCTTACTAAATTGAACAGATGCAAAATAATGGTTCTATAAAATTGATGTGTTCTTGTTAGTATTCACAGAGCAGTGTGGAATGTAAAATAATTTCTAGACTTATTTGTAAAATGGATGAGAGTAGATGTAGAATATTAGATTTTTGGCAAGCTGAATAATAGCAATTAAAAGGAAAAAAATGCAGTTTACCAATACTTTTTAAAAATTAACATGAGACAGTTCAGAATTCTTAATCATAATCCTCAATTTATAATAAACTAGAGGCCCGGTGCATGATATTCGTGCACAGGTGCAAAGGGTCCCTCAGCCCAGCCTGCACCCTCTCCAATCCAGGACCCGTTGGAGGATGTCCGACTGCCTCTCGCAATCCGGGACTGCTTGCTCCTAACCACTTGCCTGCCTGCCTGATTGTCCCTAACCTCTCTGCCTGCCTGCCTGATCTCCCCTAACTGCTCCTCTACCGGCCTGATCACCCCTAACTGCTCCCCTGCTGGCCTGATCACCCCTAACTGCCTCTGCCTTGCCCCACACCCAGGACCCAGGATTCCCTCCTCCGGCTGGTCACAGGCACCCGGGACAAGGGCTTCCCTCCCTCTGGCCAGCCACAGGCACCCAGGACCTGGGTTGGCTTCTCCCGGGCTGGCCGCAGCCACAGGAGACTGTGGGCGGGAACCTTCGCCCAGGCTGCAGCCACAGACGCTGGCTCCCAGGACCACAGGGCGGGCAGCTTGTCCCTCTCCCGGGCTGCAGCCTGGCTGGTCCCCATGCCTCTCTCCCCAGTGTTGAGTGTCTGAGCCATGAGGGCATGACAACCATTTGCATATTAGCTCTTTATTATATAGGATTATCTAGAAAAGGTTGAAGTGGTCAATGATATTTTAGAATTAACACCAACACCTTTATTTTTTTTTTAATGTTTTTCTTTCAGACTCTGAAGTTTTAATTTTTAGAAATTATTTTTGGCAGTAACTGCCCTTAGAGAATCCCATAGAGCAGAGGGAAAATGTTGTCTGGGCTCAGAGAGATGGGGTGTCAGAAGCCAGCTTTTCCGATTATTGGCTGCCAGTTTTTGTGACTTTGTTTCCTTACCTGCTTCCCTTGGCCAGGAGGGTGAGGGGCAGGGAGAGGCAGTGCACAGGTCCTGGTGCACAGTAGGCAGGCAGGGAAGGGAGCTGTCTGTTGTCAGCCAGGGCCTGTTCACAGCACCAGCGCGAGCTGGAGCCTGCTCCCCCTCAGAGTGTGGCGCTGTCTCTGAGGCTTGTCTTGCTTCTCTCTCTGTGTTAAATAGAAGTCACGTTTTCCCGAGTTTGCAGAGCACTGTGTTTGTGTCTTTATTTGACCCATTTCATCATTAGCTTTTGTGACCGGTTGTGACTGAGGAGCGTCTTGATTGGGATGTTGACGCTGCTCTTGTTTAAATGCTTCGCAAGTGACTCAGTTAGATGGTGGAGTGTGGACTAGTGTTTTCTTATTCATTTGGTGACAAGGCAGAAAAAGTGATGTCTGTAAAACTGTGATGTAGGACTGCAGCTTCTTAGCACTATAAACAAATAGCAAAAAGCTTGTTTGGTTTTCCCACTAATACGCCGGTTAATTTCACTTAATGGAGAAATGTAGATAAAGCGGAACTGTCATTTGTCACCATGTAAACAGACACGCAAAGACCAAATGTGTGACATGAGCCCTGTTTCGGATTCACCAGGTGTCACCTGAAGACAGGAGCGCCCTGTGGGCCCTGCTGACCTTCTACGGGGGCGCCTGCCAGCTGAGCCTCAACAAGAGGTGCACACACCTGGTCGTGCCGGAGCCGAAGGGGGTAAGCGCTTCCTGTACGTGCGCCTTTTCTCTGTCCCCTCAGCGTTTCCGGGAGGCATGTGGTCTTGACTTCTTTTCTGTTAATCCTTAGATTCCATTCATAAATGCTGGTTAGGTTCGTTCATGTTGTTTATGCCCAGCTTTATTCCACAGAGGGTGTGAGGTGATTATAAATTTCATTTGGAGCCAGATGTGTCTTCTGCATACAAAGAAATTGTGGGTTATTTCATGGAGAAAATAGGAAAGTGTTTTGAATCTCTGGAGTTTCCTTTCAAGTCCAGTAAAACAAGTTCATTTTCATTTGTGAAAATATATACAGGGTGTCCCAAAAACAGCTGAAAGCTCTCATTGATGTTTCTTTTCAGATTTAACCCATTGGAATTATAACTGGCAGCCAGAGTGTGTGTGCATTTTTGGGGGACACCCTGTATTTTTAGTCCTTGTCACAATTTTTAAAATGGCCTTGTCCCAAACCTAATTACAAACACACATTTAGTGACTTTTCATGTATAATCTGGAAGATGTGTAGTTATGTTTATCTGGGTAAGCACAGGGCTCTCATCCCTAAACACTGGTTGGGCCTCAGGTCACCCACGTCCGCAGCAGCGGCCTCCCGGGGGACTTGTGGGAATGCAGACTGTGCCCGGCCTGGCCCCTTAAATCAGAGCCTGGTGAGGCTGCCCGCAACCTGCTGAGCCCCTCCCAGGGAGCCGGGCACACTGACATCCCCGGGCCGCTTTGCTGTGGAACTCACACCTGTCCCTGTGCACAGCGGCGTGTGGCCGAGAATCAAGTACAGTGTTCGTAGCAGACAAGTCACATACCAGCCCTTCCTCCAGTCCTTACGCCTCAGTGTTTCCTCTGAGTGCCTGCTGCAGGAGGAGTGGGGGAGGCGGCAGAGCCCGTGGCATAGGAGTCCCTGTCACCTCTGCGCTGAGCCGCCGTTCCTGGTCCTGCCAGTGTCCTGGCGAGAAAAGGAACTGGACCCCAGCGAGTTTGGTTGTGACTTAACCAGCCACACAATCCAAGAAGAAACTTTTTCTGTGAAAATTCAACATATGAATCTTAAAATGGAAGTAAAAACTTGTATTTTGTGTAAAAGTTTAAGAGGAAAGTAGCATGCTTTGGTTAAATAGTGGGGGGTTCTTTTTGTATCTGATTTTTGGCTTAGAATAGCCGTGGGCAAACTATGGCCCGCGGGTCGGATCCGGCCCGTTTGAAATGAATGAAACTAAAAAAAAAAGACCGTACCCTTTTATGTAATGATGTTTACTTTGAATTTATATTAGTTCACACAAACACTCCATCCATGCTTTTGTTCCGGCCCTCCGGTCCAGTTTAAGAACCCATTGTGGCCCTTGAGTCAAAAAGTTTGCCCACCCCTGGCTTAGAATGAATCACTTCACTTCAGTAGCTAGTTTGTCTTCAGAAGCAGGCAGGTGAGATGCTGTTAACCGACGTCTTCACAGACTGGTCACATTACTCTTGTTTAAATGTCCACTTCCGCCGAAACCAGTTTGGCTCAGTGGATAGAGCGTTGGCCTGCGGACTGAAAGGTCCTGGGTTCGATTCTGGTCAAGGGCATGTACCTGGGTTGCGGGCACATCCCCGGTGGGCAGTGTGCAGGAGGCAGCTGATCGATGTTTCTCTCTCATCGATGTTTCTGACTCTCTATCTCTCTCCCTCTCTGTAAAAAATCAATAAAATATATTTAAAAAAAAAATAAAAAAAATAAATGTCCACTTCCTTCCTCTGACCTCTGGTCATTACGCACCCTGGCCAGTCGGAGAGCCCTCTGCTGTCCCTGCCCCCACGGGCTCCTCAGCCGGTGTTGGCCTCGGACTGCGGTCCGATGCCCTGCAAGGAGGCTCGCCCTGGGCCCTCCCCTCGTAGACAACTGACTAAACCTACCCATCCGCTCAGCACCGCGGTATGTTGCCTTCTCATCAGGCAGAGATGTGCTCCTCTGGGTCTCAGGTAGTGAGCTCAGGAAGCACTAGAGAGCAGTGAGGAGAGCGCTCCGATCCCCGGTGTCCTGCAGACACCCCCACAGGCATCGCCTTGTGCCAGTGAAGCTAGATTAGATGGCAGACATTCACTTCCTTCATGAGAGAGTGTTCCGTAGGATTCCTAGCTCTGCTCTTGTATCTAAAACATCCTTTATATTAAACACAGCCTCTGGATGAGACTGTCCTGACCACTGAGACAGGGTTTGCTTGGGGCTCAGCCCCTGCGGGAGAGGAGCGGGGGCTCGGTGTGCGGGCCGTAGTGCTGAGCGGGAATGCAGGGTCGGGCTGTGCTGCGGCTGACCGCTGTCTGTGCTGCTCTCTGTCCTAGGAGAAGTACGAGTGTGCCCTGCGGAGAGCAAGTATCAAAATCGTGACCCCCGACTGGGTCCTGGATTGCATATCCGAGAAAACCAAAAAGGATGAAGCGTTTTATCACCCTCGCCTGATCGTTTATGAAGAGGAGGAGGAGGAGGAAGAAGAGGAGGAGGAGGTAGACAATGAGGAGCACGGCTCCCCGAACGAGGGCAGTACGGATGACAAGTCGAGCCCTGCCAGTTCTCAGGAAGGGTCCCCTTCAGGGGACCAGCAGTTCTCTCCCAAGTCAAACCCTGAGAAAGCTAAGGGGGAGCTCATGTTTGACGATTCCTCAGACTCATCCCCTGAGAAGCAAGAGAGAAACCTGAACTGGACCCCTGCGGAGGTCCCCCAGGTGGCGGCGGCAAAGCGCAGGCTGCCTGTGGGCAAGGAGCCCGGCCTGATCAACCTGTGTGCCAATGTGCCGCCCGTCCCCGGGGGCATCCTGCCTTCCGACAGCCGTGGGGGCCTGATGGCCTCGGGACCGAATCTCCAGAGTTCTGAGAGGTCAGACATGCTGGCCGCCTGGAACCCCGCCGTGCGGACGCTGAGAAGCATCCCTGGCAGCGCCGACGGTCAGCAGGTGAGCAGGCCGTCCAGCGTGGCCCACGTGAGTCTTTCTTCAAGTCCATTCACTGATTTTTTTCATCTAGTTTGCTCTCACTGTTACTTTGTATGGGCTTCAGGTGCGCAGCACAGCGGTTAGACTGTGTGTTACATAGTGACCCCTCTATTCCCAGCCCCGCTCCCCGCCACATCACAGTCATCACACATTGCTGACTGCACTCCCCATGACTCCCCGTGACTGTCCGGCAACCGCCATTCTGTCTTTCTTAGTCCGTCACCTCCCGCCCTCTGCAGCCTTCAGTCTGTTCTCTGTGTCTGTGAGTTTGTTTCTCATTTGTTTTGTTTTTTTTAAAAACTTACCTTTATTGTTGAAAGTATCAGAGAGTCCCCCCCACCCCCCGCATTGACCCCTCCATGTTTGTTTTGTTCTTTAGATTCCACATAAGTGAAGTCATAAGGTATTTGTCTTTCTCTGTCTGACTTACATAGTCACTCCTTTAAAACAAAAATGTAAATCTGGGATTTTCTAATTGGATCTCAGTCTGTTGCAGTGTCATTTATCATTTTTGCTTTCGCAGAACAATTGGCACACTTGCAATATGTACTTGTGTGAGAACTTGAGTCTGTTGTGTGTGTGTATATATCTCAGTGTCAAGTGTGCGTGGAGGCGAAGCCCCACCCGGCCGACAGGACCAGGCTCGGGTGCCCGCTCTCCTGCAGGAAAGGTCTCCTCCTGTTTGGCTGGAGGTTAGCTGGGCCACAAAAGGGGTGAACTCTGCTAGCTGCCCTTCACTTGCTCGCGATGAGCTTCACCTGGATGAGTAACAGCATCCTCCCCTCCACTCCTCAAAGGGCCTTCATCTCTGCTTGCAGTTTTGCGATTGGAACTTGTTGGTACAGATTGGACCTTAAGAGTTTTAGTAGATGTTTTCAGTTTAACACAGAGGTAGTTGGGAGGTATAGCAGGCCTGCTTGCCTTTCTGTGAGCACCGAGACAGATGGTAAACAAAACAGACAAGTCTCCTGCTCTTGTTTTAGGTGAAGACAGACAGACAGCAGACAGCTCTGAGCGGAACGGCTTCCGGTGGGTCTGGGTGTTGAGACAGTAAGAGGGCCACACTAACCACTGGGGTGCAGGCTGCTATGGGTGTGGTGGTGGGGGCCTCAGGAGGAGGTCCGTAAGCAGGGCTTCAGCCCCGGAAGCCGGGGAGAGTGTTCCCGCCAAGGATCCACACCTGTGAAGAAGGAAGGACCATGAATTCACTGGGCTGTAAGGGAAGGAAGTCAGGAAAACCGGAACTCAGGCACGTGAGCGAGTGAGTGGGTCTGGTGGCCCACGCGAGGAGTGCGCTGCCTCTACGGAGGCCTGGGGCTTGGTTCGGCCGCCAGATACACACTTCCTGTTAGAAATCACAGGGCCACGGCCATGATAGCGGTGGTGGGTTTGAAGTCTGTATTGGTTAGACATGCATTGAGAAGTGTCCTTTCCCTCTCTCCCTCCCTGGGTAATGGATAGTGTGTGATTCTCGGGGTGCTGGGAGGCGGGCTCCGGAGTTCCTGGGAGCGAGGCAAGGTGGGGCCACAGGGGTTTGAGGAGGGTAGCGGGTCTGGAGCTGTGGATAGAGACTCTGGGCCCGCACTCCTGCCCTGGTTAGGGCCCTGCTGGCAGGTGGCCATGGTGACCGTGCTCAGGGTAAATAAAGCAGGTGCCCACCTTGAACCGGGCCAGGCAGGGGGGCGAGCAGGTGTGTTCAGAGCTCACATGTTCCACTAGCAATTTTGTTTTACTTATTTATTTTTTTTTCAGGAAAGCATTTATTCTAGAAACTTTGGGGGAGAATCAATGTTCTTGCCTTTTTTAGTTGCTAGGACCCATTTGCACTCTTTGGCTCATCGTACCTTCCTTAAGTCACTCCAATCTTGCTTCCATTATCATCTACTCTCCACTAGCAATTTTGGAGGAATTGCTGGCAGGTCACATTCTGCCTGTCATGTTTAGTTTGGTCCAAATAATTTTTAAAAATGTTATTTATTTGCCTAAGTCATGAGCTTCTCCCTGAAGAGGGGCTTTTGGGCCTGTCTGGACAGCGGTGGGATGGAGCTGCATGGCGCTCGCATCTGGCTGCTGACATCCTCCTGGCTGAGCAGCTGCTGCCCTTCCGGACCCAGGGCTCCTGCGGTGCGGTTCCCATGCTCCGTCTGTCCCCACCCACTGTCCCATCCCACCATCCCACCATCCCACCCCACTGTGTGCACCTGCCTGGGCCCTGGGCGCTGGAGAGTGACTGGAAGTGAGCGGCTAAGGGGACGGGAGTAGGGCCCGCTGTCCCGATGGCGCTGAGCTGGGAGTGAAGGGCTTGGGGCATTGGGAAGGCCCCTGAGCGGGCTGGGCACAGGGACTTGGGGAGAGCAGAGTGGTGGCCAGAGGCAGCCTCGGGGTGGGGGAGGAGGTGAACCTGAGGGATGTGGGGGAGGCTGGGAGCTGGGCTGGGCTGGGCTGGAGAGGCAGGATGCGCCTGAGGGGTGTCCTCAGGGCTGGTGTGGGAGCAGAGAGCTGCAGTGCCCCTAGCGCTGAGGAAGTGCCACTTTCTCCCTTCAGGGCAGGGATTGGGGGGCGGGAGTAGTCTGCGAAGTCGGGCAGAAACGTGTTCTCACAGGCGGTGGGTCCCACGCTCCCTACATTTATATTTGCACGTAGAGATAAGTGGTGTCATTTTAATGAAGTGACTCAGCAACGACTTTGGGCACATCTCTGCAGGTAGGATGTTAAGGGACGACTCGCTGGCTGGATGCCTTCCCTAAGGGGACACCAGAAAGGCCGTCCAGGCTGTGCGAGGTTTGATCACCGACGCCGGTGGCAGGGAATCTGAGTTTCTCAGCAATGTAGGAATATTAGGTCATTGTGCTGCTGGATGTGAAGAAAATGAATTTCTGACATGTTAGAGATACAAGACATACTTAATATAAAATTGGATCAGGGAGTTGAGGAAACATGGCTAACCATCAAAATCCTGTTTAAATTGCACATTTTTAATGGTTAGGAGCCATGTGGCATGTAGCATAATGCCTTCTATATTAAGTGATTTAAATAAAGACTGGCAGTTACGTCCGGAAAATTCTTGACATTATTAAAATTGTTGGCAGTGTGGCAGGTTATGATATCAAGCAGTGAAAAGTCTGTCTTTTTCCCTCGATTCCTGGGACTGACGTGTCCACCCGAGTAGGGGATGGAGCCTATGGGTACAGGGTGTTCTCACTGGCGTCCGGCACCGCTGGCCTCCTGTGCACGGCTCCCACGCCTTCTGTACCCCCTCCCCGCTCTGCCCTCACCGCAGCCTCAGCCCCTCAGATGGTGGCCCTCTCCATGGGGCCAACCCTGCCGTCCTGGCTGCTCTGGGAAGTCAGAGCTGAGGGGGGACCAGCCTCTGGCTCTGGGCATCCCAGCTGGCCCTCCTGACAAGCTCCATTCGTGAAGGTCCACTTAGGTCTGGGGTTGGAGTGCAGGTGGCAGGGGGCAACCCGTTGTTTCAGTGCTTTCCGATGTGCCTGACAGCGTTTATTTCCTTGTTAGCCATCAGCTACCCAACATGGGTGTTACTTCTGAGGGCGAAAATACATGCACCAAATACAACACCTCAAAGGTACCAAAGGCTGTAGAATGACAAACTCCCAGATGTGGCCACTGCCCTGCCCAGTGGTGGGGACGCTCCCTGCTGATCTGCAGACACAAGCAGGGGTCCCTCCACACAGCACACCTTCCTGTGGCGCTGCTGTGCTGGCCGCGGGCCGAGCTCAGGGTCAGGCCCTGCCCCTGCTGAGTGCCGGTGACACCTGTGCATGCGGAGAATATGGCGGTCCTGCTTCTACATCCTCTTTCGCTGTTTTCTATTGAGAGCTCAGCAGGGGCTTTTTTCTTTTAAATATTTTAAAATTGATTTCAGAGAGAAAGGAAGGTGGAGAGATAGACACATCATTGATGAAAGAGAGTCATTGATCGGCTGCCTTCTGCATGCCCCCTACTGGGGATAGAGCCCACCACCCGGGCCTGTGCCCTCACCGGGAATTGAACCATGACCTCCTGGTTCATACGTCAACATTCAACCACTGAGCCACACCGGCCGGGCAAGCAGGGACGTGTTTGAAGCACCAAGAGAATCTCCTTCTGGGGGTGTCTTACCTGTGACTCCAGGCCCCCAGCTCTGGAGTTGGACTTATTTCTGGTTGAAACACAGTTGTTTCATCACTAAATCCAGAGCTGTCACCCTTGCAAGTTATAGAACTTGACGTTTGGAGTCCGTGAAGTGGGAGATACGTGGTGAAACATAGTTGTCATTTTCGTGGCGCTCTGGTTACTGGTTCCTGTTGACCACAAGAAGCTGAGCACATTGGGATGGTCCATGCGTGATGTGTTTCTTTTGTTCTGTTCAGCACTGGGAGGACACCAGTCACCTGCCCGCCACTGGCTGGGGGCCGCTCCTACCCGCGCCCCCTCTCCCCGTCCCGGTGTATCCAGAGCCCTCAGCTGTCACAGTACTAGGCAGCGTGAATCTGAGAGGTGGCCTGGCCTGGTCAGGAGCATTTGGCCATCTAAAGCTCCAGGGCGTTGGGGGAAGGCTGGCCATTTAAACAAGCTGCCGGTGTTTCTCTGTCCCTCAGAGCAGTGACCACAGATGAGAGGCTGGCGTTCTGATGGGGGGCTGCGGTCTGGGGAGGCTTGTCGGTGCTCTCACGGGGAGGTGGTGGTCACGTCCGACTCCCACGGGACCCCTTCTTTGTTGGCAGCTGTGGGAAGGAGGTGTGGGGGGGCTGAGTCTGGCTGGGGTTCCTGAGCCTCGCTCAGTTAGGGAAGGTCGGGGCAGCCTGGCCAGCGGCCCAAGAAGAGCACCCCTTCCCCTCTGCCTTGTGTTTGCTGCCCGCAGGCTGGGGCCTGTAAACATATCTGCCAGGTGGGGCTTCGGCTTGTCAGCGTCAGTTCTGTAGCTTATTCGTTTACCTGCTGGGTTTTAGCTCTGGGTGACTTCACATACCGTATTTTTCCGTGCATAAGATGCTATTTTTTTCCTGAAATCGTTAGACTGAAAATCAAGGGGCATCTTATACACGGAAGTCAGCTGAGGAGGAAGCCGTGAGGGTGCACAGCTGCCCATACCTTGTCAAACAGGCCTCCTCCAATCATGAGCCTTATTGTTTATTGACGTCAGCCGATGCTGTAATTGGAGGTGGAGAGTGCAACAGGGACCTGAGCGTTCTGAGGCTATAAGATGTCAGAAATAAAAAGGTAAATACCGGTAAGCGACCGTCTTACTCTGCAGAATTCAAACTGAATGTGATCAGCTGTGCAAAGAGCATGGCCATAGAGCAGCAGAGAGACAGTTTGGTCCTCCCATGATCAGGCTGTGGAGAAAACAGGAAGAACAGCTCCTTAAGATGCCAAAAAAGAAGAAGGCCTTAAGAGGAAAACCAGCAAAATGTTTAAAATACTGATTTCTTAATTTTGGGTTGGAAAAGCGGAGGGCATCTTATACATGGGTGCATCTTATACACGGAAAAATACGGTACTTTATTGACGTTGGTGATGTTTTTTAAATAAATACAAAGGAAAAGGCTGTGTTCTTGAAACTTCCCCTGGTTTGCAGCTTGTTGCCAGTTAGGTGAATATTAAAGGGCCGTGTAAATAAATACACTGTCATTCTTAGTTGATATTAATACGTTTCAGGAACAGTGGGTGACTTTGCCTTTTTCTTGTTTTCTAGATCTTACAGTCCCTTTCAGCACCTACAAAACATATTGAGCAGCAGGTGAATCACAGCCAACAGAGCCACGCGAACACCAATGCAGTGCTCTTCAGCCAAGTGAAAGTGCCTCCGGAACCACAGCTGTCCCAGCAGCCGCCGCAGCATCCCGTCCTGCACCTGCCACCCCAGCAGATCATGCAGCTTCAGCAGCCACCGCAGATTCCACAGCAGCAGCCACACTCGTTCCCGCAGCCCCAGCCAGTCCCTCCGCACCCGTTCCCACAGCCGCAGCCTCACCGCCCGCAGCAGCTCCAGCCCCTGCAGCAGCAGCATGCCCTGCAGCACCAGCTGCACCAGCTGCAGCAGCAACAGCTGGCACAGTTACAGCAGCAGCAGCTGCAGCGCCTGCACCACCAGCAGCAGATGCAGACGCACGCCGCACAACACCTGAGTCAGACGCCGCAGGTGCTGCAGCACCAGGCTTCGCAGCACCAGGCTCCACCCCTGCAGCCTCAGCAGCCACACCTGCCCCAGCAGCCTCACCTGCCCCAGCAGCCACCCCTGCCCGCGGCGCCACACCTGCCCCAGCAGCCACCTGCCCCAGCAGCCACACCTGCCCCAGCAGCCTCATCTGCCTCAGCAGCCTCATCTGCCCCAGCAGCCTCACCTGCCCCAGCAGCCTCACCTGCCTCAGCAGCAGCCTCAGCAGCCGCTCTTCGGACACGACCCAGCAGTGGAGAGTTAGTAATGTCGATGTGTTTGTTTCTTTCTCCTGAAAGTCTTGCACTTGCGTAAATGCTTGGAGAGTGCTGAGGGTGGGTGAGGGTTCACACCAAAACAATGCTTACAGAAGGGCTGTGCATCCGCCCTGACGAAAGATAGAGCTGGTGGTGGAGCAGGCACACTGTCTCTGTAGTCAGGACGTCAGACACGCACGTGAACTTTGGTGTCCTTAGAGCTCCAGGCTGCCAGGGTACCGCCTCAGAGCATTCAGTGCCCGGGTAAACCGTCCAGGTCATCGTGACGCACTTCATAATTTCAAGTGGAACCCAGCAAGACGGGCTTACGTTTCTGTGCACACGTATTCATGGGCTTTAATTGTGTTTTTCCCGTACGATTCTATTCTAGTTCCAGAAGAAGGCTTCTTGCTGGGGTGTGTGTTTGCCATTGCGGATTACCCAGAGCAGATGTCCGATAAACAGCTGCTGGCCACCTGGAAAAGGGTGAGGCTGTGCCTGGGAGAAGCGAGCTTTGCACCGGACGGTGCTCCCTCCCCAGCGGCCTTCCTCTGGCCGCCCTGAGCGCCTGCTGTGCTCCGAGTGTGTCTTTGGCTTTGGCGTTCGCATTCTCGGCCTGGGCAGGTCACTTTCCTGGGCTGCAGGTGGCTTAGCTGTTGGGGGTTGCTGCTTTCCATTCCAGGGTGCTCTCCACTTTGGGCTCCTGAGGGGCATGGCTTGTCCCTGTAACCGGGGGTGTGGGACGAGGATCGGTGGTGGTGACATGGGATCCGGGCTGTCAGCCTCTCCGCCTCGACCACTCCCATCTGCAGAGGCTCTAGAGCAGCTGTTCTCAACCTTGGCTGCACATCAGAGTCACCTGGGAATCTTTTTTAAATCCTGATTTCTGGCCTCATCCTCCGGAAATTCTGTTTCTTTGTTACTAATGTTGTGGCCCCACCCCATAACAAAGAAACAGAATGTCTGGAGGATGAGGCCAGAAATCAGGATTTTAAAAAGATTCCCAGGTGATTCTCATGTGCAGCCAAGGCTGAGAACCACTGCTCTAGAGAAGCGCGGCTCTGGACGAGGCGAGTGCTGCGCTGTGGGCTGCAGCCCGTTTATCGTGTTGCAGGTGTTAGAGCTCATTGGTCATTGTCAGTGTGACGTGGGTGCTGTGCGTGGGAAACTGTTCTCTGTCATGTGCCTTACTCAGCTGTGGGCTGCAGCCCATCTATTGTGTTGCACTGTGGCCTTTGAAGGGGAGAAAGAGACTGTGTTTTGCAATGCCACAAACCAGAACTGAGCTGGAAACTTTGCAAGATGAGTTGAAGTGGCTCCAGAAATATGTTGCATTTGCTCCCCATGAGCAATGGTGGTGTTTAGGCCCTGAGTGTCCCAGGCATGTGGCAGGACCTAGGGGGGACTGATGAACAGCCAGACCGAGGAAACTAAAGCAGTTGGAGAGATGGCCACATTGACAGACCGCAAGGAGGTGCAGGGAGAGCCATGGGGCGGGGGTGGGGGGGGGCGCTGCAGCACAGGCAGGCATACAGCTGCAGAACGGGAGGGACGGGCCGTAGGAAAGTGCGCAGTCCTCAGGGTGGGGTGGGGCGTCCAAGAGGAAAGGTGGGGGGTTAGCAGGGAGGTGGCTGCAAAGGCCAGGGCACATCTTCCTTATCCACGTGCCATGACACAAGTTTTAAGGTTCTAAGATCGTCCCAAGAGGCCCACTGTTTAATAAGAGCAGTTTGGGAAAAGGAAGTGAGGGCAAGAACATTGTTAACAAATACAGCTCCCAGCTGGAGAGCGTGTCCAGACGAAGGGGAGGAGAATGCTGTGGAGCAGTTGGGAGGTGAGACGCAGAGAGCGCTTTGGACAGACGGAGTCGGGGGAGTCGGAGGGCGCTGCCAGGAGACGGGGCGATTTCCAGCCGGAGCAGTGCAGAGCCAGCCGGTCGAAGGCGACAGTGGGATAAGGTGTTCTCAGACTTCACAGTCAAGCAGCATACCTCCCACGTGCTTGTTTTGGGAAGACGGGCAGCCGGGAATGGGGCCTGACCAGGCGGGAAGGGGATCCCAAGTAGATTAGACGGACGAGGACGCGGGACAGGACGGCGATCCAGGAACACAGCACAAATGAGAACGGTGCCAGGAGATGACGTGGCCTCAGGTCGCCTTGCTGCTCCCGGCTGTCACCTGGGGCGGCAGATGGAGCCCAGTGTCCTAGCTTCATCATGAGTCCCACGGGTTAGTTCCACGCTGACTGCGGGAACCAGGTCCAGGTGGGAAAGAGCGTGTGGGGACACATTTAAAACCATCCCTCACCTTTGTTTGAGGAGTTGGGCATGAACGAGGAAACAGATAGGCAAGTGGGTGAGCAGGGAGGTGGCAGCTGCTGCACCACAGAGGGCTCTAGGTTCTGGACTCGGAGGCTGTGGGGAGGGGGTGGTGGGGGAGGAGATGGGGGCAGGAGGCAGCCTCCATGGTCGGTAGGGGGGTGACATCTTCTGACACGAAGACAGCACAAACCCTATTAGAGCACATTGGTCATTCATTATCAGTGTGATGTGGGTGCTGTGCATGTGCCTTATTAAACTGCGTGAATTAATATAGTAAAATAACTAAATTTCAGAAATAGGAAGTGAAGCAGTGTGTTCTGTGGGGCAGCCCTCTTAGCTGCAGCAGCTCATTGAGTGTTGACAAAAGCTGAGGGCCTTGTAACCACCACAGCCAGGGTACAGAGCAGTTCCCTCGTTCCAAAAGCTGAATCTGTTTTTAAAAATAAATTTTGGTGCCCGGCTGGTGTGGCTCAGTGATTGAGCTTCGTCCCTTGGACCAAGAGGTCCTGGGTTTGATTCCCGGTCAGGGCACATGCCCGGGTTGCAAGCTTGATCCCCAGGAGGGGGCGTGCAGCAGGCAGCTGACTGATGTGCTTCTCTCAGCAATGTTTTTATCCCTCCCTCTCCCTTTCTATCAAAAAATCAATCTAAAAAATATTAAATAAAGAAATAGATTTGGTATTTGCTAACTTCTTTCTGAGTCCGTCCCTACTCCCCCTTTAGAATAATGGTTCTTACTGGTGACTTGGCGCCCCAGGGGACACTTGGCATTGTCTACAAACATTTTTTGTTTTGTTAATCCTCACTTGAAGATTTTTTTAAATTGATTTTAGAGAAAGTGGGGGGGGAGAAACATCGATGTGAGACACGTCGATTGGTGACCTCCCACACATGCCCCAACCAGGAATCAAACTTGCAACCCAGCCAGGTACATGCCCTTGACCGGGAATTGAACCTGTGACCCTTTGGTCCGAGGGCCGGTGTTCTAACCATGGAGCGTGCTGACCAGGGCTCTGTAGACATTTTTAGCTGTCATACCTGGGGGAATACTGCTGGTACCCCATGGGTAGAGGTCGGGGTGCACCAACCCCTACCATGCACAGGGCAGCCCCACGACAGAATGAGCTTGTCCGAGTGTCTGTCAGGAGCATCAGATCAAGAGACATCCCCTCTTCTCCTTCCCTCAGGGAAGTCCGAGTGACTGAGTGTGGAGTCCGTTTTCCGTCATCGGGCTCAGTGGATAGGTCCATGAATATAACTGACACGGACCTCTATGCTTTGGGGCAATAAGCTGTAATATATGGTGGTTCTTTGAAGAGCTGTGTGGTTTCAGTTACAACAGCGGTTCTCAACCTGTGGCTCACAACCCCTTTGGCGGTCGAACGACCCTTTCACAGGGGTCGCCTAAGACCTTCCTGCATGTCAGATATTTACATGATGGTTCATAACAGTAGCAACATTACAGTTATGAAGTAGCAACGAAAGTAATGTTATGGTTGGGTCACAACATGAGGAGCTGTGTTTAAAGGGCCAGAAGGTTGAGAACCACTGAGGTACAACTCCCTGTTCTGCACGTAACGCTGACTGTGCCTGGTCTCGCAGATCATCCAGGCGCACGGCGGCGCAGTGGACCCCGCGCTCTCCGGCCGCTGCACACACCTGCTCTGCGAGAGCCAGGTCAGCGGGATGTTCGCACAGGTAAGCCCGCAGCCCCCGGCTGGCAACGACTGTGCTTGGGGAGGACTTACTACCTCTAAGGATGACTCTCATGCCCTTTGTGGGAGGTAACTTTCAGCCCTGGCACTAGGAGAGAGCAAGGAGGCTCAGGGTGGTAAGGGTGGGTGGGCCGCCTTCCACTCAAGCTCTGGTGCTGTGAGTACGTGGTGGGTAGCACCAGGATGCCCCCCTGAGGGACTGTCCCCAGGGCCTGGCTGTACATGCCTCCCAGAACTTCCCTCTCTTTCCTGAAAGAGGCCCTTGTTTGTACCAGACCCACATTACTGCGTCAGTGATAATGGCCTCCGGCTCGTAGAAATGCGTGGGCACTTTGCCTGGGGTTCTTGTTAGGCGCAGTCCCATTTTTCTTAAGTTGTATGTGGGGCCCTCTGTGTGCTTGTGGGGAATTTAATTTTCATGATCATAAATGTTCCTCATTCTATGAAGTTAGCCCCCAGGTGTGATAAGACTCGTAGCTTTCACCTCCATGGCAAGTGCTCACTCATGATTGTCATCCTTTCGAGTGGCATTAAAATTAGTTCTTTTCGTGAATTGAGAGTTAAACATCATGGAACTCTGATTTCCAGTGTGGGCGGTAGCTTTGCCACCTCAGTTAGTGTAGTCCTGCAGGGACAGCCCGCTGACCCCCTGTTGCCATCGCAGGCCCTCAGGGAGCGGAAGCGGTGCGTCACGGCGCACTGGCTCAACACCGTGCTCAAGAGGAAGAAGATGCTGCCCCCGCGCCGCGCCCTGCACTTCCCCGTGGCCTTCCCTCCCGGGGGCAGGCCCTGCTCCCAGCACGTAAGCCGCGTCTGTCTTTGGGCCTTGGGGTTGGGCTCGGGCCCAGTCAGTGTCTTCCACACATAGGGGATGTTTGCCTGATTCTGCACAATCTTTGACACTGATTACAATTCTGAAATAAACCCCGTGTCTTGCACAAGAAGTGACCGCTATCGGGCAGGACTTTATCAAAAGGTGTACGTTCTCCACCCAAATCATCAGAACGAGTCAGTAAGGGGTGGAAAGAACTGACTGATAGTCACATGCCCTGGTATCTCCCATAATTCCAAAGAAAGAGTGAAAACACATACGTCCACATAAAACAACTGAAACGTGGAAAAAGAGTTCTTGTGTTAAATCGTATTTTACCGTATTTGCTTCTTCCCTTAGATTATTTCTGTGACTGGATTTGTTGACGGTGACAGAGATGACCTGAAGTTAATGGCCTACCTGGCAGGGGCCAAATACACGGGCTACCTGTGCCGCAGCAACACGGTCCTCATCTGTAAAGAGTAAGCGCGCCTGGGAGCCCCCATGCACCTTGGACGCGCCGGGCGCGGGCTGTCTGCGCGGCTGTGTGCTCCTCAGTGATGCCAGTTTGGGGGAACATGAGTGTGGAGGAAGAGGACAGGGACACTCAGGGTCGCGTGTGCAGGCACAGCCAGAGCCCCTGAAGGAGGGTGGGCGGGCCAGTGAGCTGCGAGCTGCTTAGTTGGTCACAGGCACACGGAGACGTGGACAGTGAGGGACATGACACCTGTTGGCCAGCAGGGCTCCCTCAGCTTTGCTGAGATGTCCCTGTCCTTCCTGACAAACGAGGTGTTTTTACCGGCTTTCGTTGAAAATAGTCATTTGCACAGTAGACAACTTTAACATTTAATCAATGTGTTTTCTCCACCAAAAAAGGCCAACGGGTTTAAAGTACGAGAAAGCCAAAGAGTGGAGGATCCCCTGCGTGAACGCGCAGTGGCTCGGGGACATTCTGCTGGGGAACTTCGAGGCTCTGCGGCAGGTCCAGTGCAGCCGCTACACGGCGTTCAATCTGCCCGACCCCTTCGCCCCCAGCCCGCACCTCGTAGTCAACCTGCTGGGTGAGTGGCTCCCGCTGAGGGAGAGCGGCCTGTGTGCCGCCCGTCCTGGCCCCTCCTCCGCCGCCAGTCCTGCTCCCGTCTCCTCTGCACTTCCACCTTCTCCCTGGGGCCACTCGAGATGGGAGGACATGCGGGAGCCTGGCTGGTCTGTCGCAGGCGGGTAGCGTGGCCCTGAGAGGCTCCGGCCCTGGCCCGTGCCCTGTGTTGTGTAGAGCCCACGTCTGCTGTGTTGTCACCTGGGGTTGACTTGGTTGCATCAGGTCGGGATGCACGCTGGCTGCTCCTCAGCCCGTGGTGGGGACCCACTGCAGGAGTCCCGCCCCAGTGTTACTGCGTCACTGAACTGAATCCAGAAACGGGCACTCTGTCCCGGGCACTGGCTCGCGAAGAGGCGGTGGCGTGCCTTGTTCACACCTTCACGGCACAGTCCTCCAGCCTGCGTCCCCCTCCATGACTTCCTCTGTGAGGACTGCGGCCCTTCCTGCCGGTGCCCGAGCGCAGCACCATCCGGGAACCCCTGGTCACAGGCGGTCTAGTAGAGGCCAGCCTGGTCCCAGAGTGGGACTGGCGCCCGCTCTGACAGCTGTGCCGAGGCCTCATGGCCTCGTGCTGGACACGCACAGCGGGCTGGACGGCGAGTGCTATCCCAGAGCACCCGCCCCTCGTCCCCGCAGGAAAGCCTTTCTGACTCCCAGTCCTTCCACTCGTCCTCCGCGTCTGCCGTGTCCCTGGGGGTCTGGGATCGCCACCCCAGGAACCCTCTTCCAGAGGCTCTGCTGTTTGAACGGCATCTGGTGGTAAAAGAACCTGTTTCTTCTCTAGATGCGTGGAGAGTCCCGCTGAAGGTGTCGGCTGAGCTGTTGACGGTAGGTCACGTGGGGCCTCCCTGGCTGCCGCAGCGCCATAAGGTGCAGGAGGGTTTTGCCTTTGCAGATTGCACTCTCCGCAGCTTGTCTGACAACCAATGAAGGCTGTTGTCGCCTATCAGGAACGTGTAGTGTCCCTGGTTCTGCTTTCTCATTGATGGTGGCACCGTCAGTCACCCTGTGCTGCAGTGAGCGCCTCAGTGGCACCAGGGACAGGAGGAGACGGTGTGGGGGCAGGGTGGCAGCAAGAGCCTCCGGGCCCAGCCTCGTGGCCACAGCGCCGCGGGTCGGTGTTTTCGTGTCCAGGCAGGCCGTCCGGGGGTTGAGGTCACTATGCGCTGCTTCAGGCTGGGCAGCCCTGCCTGTGTGAGCCCTGTCCTCACTGGGAAGGCAGGGCCAGGGCGGGCATTGGCTTTCGCAGAGTTTCCCATGTGACCATTATAATCACTCCACGCCGCTTCTCTGGGGGGCAGTGGGAGTCACTTTTCATGCCTGAGGTGGGTGGCAGTCTTGCTGTTGTCGGTAGAAGTGTGATTGAAAGGTTGAGGCTTACAGACATGTTAGCATGTGCATTCCCTTATGTCATCCTCACGGATGTCGTGTCCTGTCTGATTCCTACAGTGACCCTGTCAGTGCAGAGGTGAGCGTTTGTGCCACGTCACCCACTAACTGAAGACAGTGCTCTTGCCAGGACTCGCGGTGCCACCCGGGCCTGTTTGCGGGTGTCGATGCTACAACGTGATCTGAGGGGGCCTGTGGGCTGCTGCCTGCTCCCTCCTGCTGTGATCACCTGCTAGTCATGTGACTTTCCTAACACTGACCAGCTCTGATGTGCAGCAAAAGCAGACATTCTCCGGGTTCTGGCGGTTGAAAGAAATGTTACAGAGGCTTTTACGATGAACACGGTCCCCACAGTTCCCACCCAAACCTCTCGGCATAGGCTCTGGGATGGCGTCGGGCCTGTGTTAGTGTTAGGGCTGAGCACCGTGAAGGCCGCTGTGCCGTGGTTGGTCCCTGTTCTGTTTCTGTCCTTGCCACCGGCAAGTGGAGTTTGGAGATTAAATTTGACCTTGAGGGTCGCTGTCTTCTAAGGAGTTGAGCCTTCCTGCAGGTTCCGCATCTGGAACAGCTGGGAGGTTCCAGGTCTTGCCAGAAGCTCTGCGTGTATTCGGTGGTTCAGATCCTTTAACTGGGAAGTGCAGCGTGCGGTTAGTGAGGGTGATCCTCAAGGTCGAGGGCAGAGGTCGGCACCCCATGTGGGAAGTGCAGCTGTGGTTAGTGAGGCGATGTTCAGAGTGTCTTTTTAAAAGAAGCCCTGCATTGAAGACATGCAGAAGGGGTGATGGGACAGTGGCTGCGTTAGAGGCCATGTACGGGACACGGCTGGGACCAAGGCCTCCTTCCCTTGTTGGCTCTGCTCCTGAGACTGTCCTGCAAGCTCTGTGAGCCCTCAGGGGCGTTTCTGGTTCTGGATACTGGGTTTTTAAAAGTGAGGTGTAATTGCATTGAGTGCTTTCCAATCCCCAGTGGGCTGCAAGATGAAATACTTACAATGAAAAGGGGAGCGATCTGAGATGGGATAGAAGGTGGCAGGGTTTAGGTTCTTGGAGTCTCCTGATGCTGCTGGCCCAGGGCAACGCATCTGTGCTGCCCTCCAGGCCTCCTGTGGGGAGGCGGGGCGTGCCCTGCAGAGACTGGGGGGTGGGGGTGGGGAGGGCTGCACCTGAAGGACCCAGAGCTCTTGGAAGCCACTTGGGAAGTTGATGGAAGTAAATCCTATTTTAATTCTAGGTTGTAAGACCACCCCCCAAACTGAAGCAGAACGAAGTACCGAACGTTCAGCCTTCTTCCAAGAGAGCCAGGTATGCTCACACTTCCCTCTGGGCCATGACAAGGAGGGCACACCGCGCCCTGGGGGCTTGACGGGCTGCTCCAACTGGTGGCAGGTGGGGATGTTCCTGACCTTTTCAGTGTGAATAGGTCATGATTCATGGCTTGATTGCGATGTTTCTCACTTTGTTGCTGGAGGAAAAGGTGAATAGGCTGTTGTTTTCTTTCTTAGGAAAAACACACACCAAAAAACCAGTTGTCGGCGGGGTGGGCGGCAGGGTGAGCACACACGGTGACTGAGCGGCCAGTGCCCGGCAGTGGTGCTGTCCGCTGGCCCATTGAGGCAGCGCGGTCATCCGTGACTCTAGAAAACTCTCCTCCCAGACTGCACCTGGGCATGGTTTACTGCCTGGAGGTCTGTTGCCGTCACCAGTTCCTTTTCTTTTCCCTGCTCCTCAGCGCTCCCTCCTTCCTGCAAATAAACTTAAGCTTTTTGTTACCTAGACTGCCTCTACTAAATATGAGCTAAACATAGGCCTTGGAAAATTTAAGGAAATTAAAAGGCTGCGGTTTAATTTAAAGGGGGTCCTCTGGTTGGGGCAGGCCGGAGCGGCAGGGACACCTCGCTGGCTCTGCGGGGAGGTGGGCGGGACCAGCGATGGGACCAGCTTGAATGCGCACCTGCTTTCTCAGGCCAATTTAAACCCATTTTCAGTTGGGAGGGAGAGCCGTGAGGCAGAGGGGCCTTGAGCCTGAGCCGTGGGGGCTTGCGTGCTGGGCGTCTGGGCAGGTGAGCCCGCGGCAGGAAAGGACCATCCCTCGTGTGTTTTCTTTGAGGAAAAGCACACTCACAGCTGGTCGTGTGCTTTTAAAGCCACGCAAGTCCCTTGTCTTCAAAGAACTTTTTAAAAGTAAACAATACACCCTTCGTTCTGCTTCTGTTTGTTTTGTAGGATTGAAGACATACCGCCTCCCACTAAAAAGTTAGCCCCTGAGCTGGCGCCTTCCGTGCTGTTCACGGGGTTTGAGCCCGTGCAGGTGCAGCAGTATGTCAAGGTGAGCCACCCGCTCGCGGGGCTGCACGGGGTCCTTCCTGTCCGCCGAGGACACTCGCCTCCTCTCTGCGGTGAGGCGGGTTCAGGTGACCGACCACAGCCACGCATACGGCGACGCTGCCGAGGGTCACCGGCCACAGGGCGAGGGACGTCCTCCCCTCCGGGCCTCTGCGTGGGACCTCCATCTGCTCACAGTAGTTCCTGGCTGGAGGCCATGCGGGGCTGAGTGTTTGTGTTTTCACAAAAATTTCAAATAAACTTCTTGAAATAGCCAAGGGCACTGGCTCTCCTGGTTTGTGGGGGGCTGGCTAGAGTCTAAGGGGGCCTGTGTCGTGATGTGTTCAGACATTTCACTTGTTATTTTTTTAAGGAAAAGAAGCAATTATAAATGCTACTGTTACAAACTTAGTATAATTTCATTTTTTTACCTTAGTCCAGTTATTGAGACCATTTTTTATGTTTGTGTCTTGTCAGTTTTCATGCTATCATTTTTAAAACAGAGATGGTAGCTTACCTGTGCCTCCTGGCCACGCAGTTCAGCGTAGGCAGTCTGGACGCTCGCTGTGAGGAGAGCCTCCTTGCCCACAGGGCCATGTGGTTGGGTCCTAGTGTGTGTGCAACCGACCAAAGAAATGCCCTGGGGCTCCACCTTTCACTCCCACAGGCTGGGGGGCTGTCCTCTCCCGCAGCCTGGGGGCTGTCGGCTGCTGTGTGTCTGCGGCTGAGAGCTGTACCCTACGTCTCACCCTGGACGTGTTGCTCTGGGCCACACGGCACACACGATGCAGCTCCTGCTCTCACTCCTGTCTCTGTCTCTGCCTTCAGAAGCTCTACATTCTCGGGGGCGACATTGCCGAGTCTGCGCACAAGTGCACGCACCTGATTGCCAGCAAGGTGACGCGCACGGTCAAGTTCCTGACGGCCGTGTCCGTGGTGAGGCACATTGTGACTCCCGAGTGGCTGGACGAGAGCCTGAAGTGCCAGAAGTTTATTGGTGAGCAGCGCCAGCACCTCAGCTTTAAAGTTTTTGTCCCCCAATGAAAGCAAACATCTCCCCTTTTTACTTCCAGTGTCAGTGTCTCCGTCTCACACACTAACTCCGTGGTGAGCGCTCTCCAGTCTCGGGGGCTCAGCTTCATCTGTGCCTGGAGATGGACGTTTTAGATGCTTCACTCAGTGTGCCTCCGTCACCTGGGCCTCCGACAGGCCACCGGCAGGCCTCTGTCCCTTTTCCTTCGTCGGAATTCATCTTTCTAATTCCTCCCCTGCTTGGACATTCTGTCTCCTTCCAGCTTGCCTATCTGTGATTCGCTGCTGGTTGATTCTGTGTTTCCAGCAGTCGATAAACTGCAGCCTTTCTTTGTGATTCAATGGCTCTTGCCACGGGCAAGCAAACTGGCCAAGAATGGTTGTCACATTTTTAAAGCACTGTTTTAAAATAGCGATATTTAACCGTGAGCAGCAAGAGTTTTTAAACATGCCATACCCGACTAGTCAGGGCCCTGTCCTCTTTTCCTTTAGATTGTCAAATAAAAATGACAATAGCCAACGCAACAATAGTGTCCGATGTAAATGCCCTGTCTTGCACCATAAAGATATAGATCATATAATAGAGACACATCTTATTGGTCACCTCACATAAGGCTGTGTGTGATTGGTTAATTCAGAAATTCTTATATACAAGTATAAGCACCTGATTTTGTAAACAGTCACTTTGGCCCTGGCTGGGTGGCTCAGTTGGTTGGAGCGTTGTCCTATCCACCACAAGGTTGTGGGTTGACTCCTGGTCAGGGCACATACCTAGGTTGCCGTCTGTATAGGAGACAGCCAGTCAATGTTTCTCTCACATCTATGTTTCTCTCTCTCTCCCTTTCCTCTCTCTCAAAAAAATAAAAACACTCTTAGGTGAGAACTAATAAAAAAACAAACTATTCCTTTATAAATTGCTGTGCACTTCCATGTACTTAAAGGAACTATGTTTTTGGTAAATCAGTACCATTTGACTACTTGAGTCTAGTGTCCTCAGGTCCCTGTGGCCACTGCACAGCAGGGACGGCTGCCCTTGCTGTCTGAAGGTGTGGAGGGCGGGGCCGAGGTGAGGGGCGTGGCTTTCCCACGTGTTTTAGGGGGCTAAATACGCTGTGGTCTGGGAGAGGGAGCCCGTCTGCCTGTGGGGCCTGCGGGTG